GTGAAACTGGAAGCATTCAGACCCACAGCCAGAGAGCAGAAGCCCCAGCAGCCCCAGGCAGTGGGAGGCCACCATAAGGATTCGAGATACCTGGAGTTCCTGGGGCAGAGAAAGGAAGGATTCGAAGGCCTTGCACACAGTGCCCACCTCCTCCTGATTGACGCATGCTTCCCAGAGTCCCATGATCCAGGTCTCCATCTCATTCAGGTCCAGATTGAGTGTCTTCCATTGGGGCAGGATGGTGGTGACACATGAACACACCCAGCCAAGAAGAGAGAGGAACAGTCCCCCGAGGTGGACTCTCCCCTGGAAACTCCAAGCCATAACTGCTCCCTCCACCAAGACAGAAGAAGGAGAATGGGTGACTCAAGAGACTGGTTAGCACCGATGACTTCTGGAGGCTGGGATGGGGAAAAAAATCTCACATTTGGAGTGTGTTGCTATATCGGTTTTCTGAGCAGCAGCTGAGGCAGGTGTCAGGAACTTGGCAATATTTGGGGTTAGTAGATTGAATCTGGGTGTGGTTTCTGAAAGAGGGTCCCACAAAAGGCAAATCTGTGTGGTAAGCCATCAATATATATTTAATGAATATAGTCACACAGTTAAAATGACTCTTTATCTCTGAGATCACAAAAGAAATGTCCTGGAATACATCTTGATATAATTTTTCTGGAGGACAGTCAGGGTTTATCCTTTTAGACATAGGGGCACTTGGATCCAGTACCTTATCTTCGGGAAAATCTATCTAAATGTCTATGAATGTATACAAAACTTTATGAAAATAGCCATTGGAATATTATTAGTAATTGTGAACTCTGGTTAATGTTAAATAACCATTTTAAAAGTGATATTGAAGAAGAAATTTTACTTATGAACATTTTAGTTAACAAATTTTAGACATGAACAATGTTTTTGAAGGGCAGGTATAGCAGTGCATTCCTGTAATTTCAGAATGAGGGAGGCTGAGGAAAAAGGATCATGAGTTCAAGGCCAGGCTAGGCTAGTATGGCAAGACTCTTAGGGGAAAAAAAAAAGAAAGAAAAAGAAAAAAATGGTATGTATGTTGTTAATGAGAAAAACAGGGGCCCACATAGGAGTTTCATAAGAAGTACATGTAAAGTGTGCATATATCTCACAGAAAGAGTTAGACGTGGTTGTAGCTATGGTAGGATGATAGTTTTTATTTAATTACCTATGCATTGAGTAAATTGTGTAAATTTATCCTTTGTTTCTTTTGTAAACAGAAAGGCTCACCAGTATTAAGTTTTCAAAAATGAATTAAAATTCCCCAACCCAAGGTACTTACCTAGTCCTTGAACATCCCTGCAAGGTAAGTGCGCCCTCATGAGCCATGAGCTGTTAGGATAGCAGCTGTAAACAGGAGGCACTCAAACCAGCATCCACGCTTCCATTCCTGTCCGTTGGTTGCCAAGGGGCAAGATCTGACAGGAAAAGAAACCATTTGTATTTACTGACTGTGGCTGAAAGCCAGAGTTTGGCCTGGATGTTTTATCTGTATTGAATTTTCACACTGCCACTGGGTGATACAGGTTATAACGGAACCTTGACAAGGTCCTTTTGGCTAGTAGGCCACAAATACAAACAGCTGAGGCAAGTGGCTTAGTCTTAGACCTTTCATGTTCTTGGTCCCAGTTGTCCCAATGATTTCTTCTGCTCTGCCCTTGCACACTGGTGACACAGATGCGGGTAAGGGCTTGTCTTGATGACAAAACCCAAAGTAACCCTGGGAGCTATTCTATTAAAGACACAAACGTCTGATCAATATGTCTCCTATTTATATTTTAGGCTCTGACACACCACGTGGAAATGCAAAATGAAAGCAGAGGCCTGGGCCAGCCAGCAGTAAGGAAGTACTTCCTGAGCAGCAAGGGTCCTGCCTTTATCTGATGGTTGTCTTCAGACAGATAAGCTAGTGACTGGTAAAGGAGGGAGATGGCATTATCTGGAATGCTCTTTAGTCTTGTGTTCTATTTTTTTTAAGGAAATAGATAAAGAAATCTCATATTTCAGCACTTGGCTTCAAAAATTATCCATGCATACTAGTTTTGTCTCATCTATAACTGCATCCCTAAAAACTATTTTGAAATACATGAGATGTTCTTTGAATTTTAGGCTCCTGTGGCAAAAAAAAATCCATATATCCATTTGCTGGTTTTTGTTTTTCTTTTTAAAGACAGGGTCTTGATATATAATTCATACTGGCTTTGAAGCCACTCTGTAGCCCAGGCTACTCTTGAGCTTGTAATTCTCCTGCTTCCCAAGTACAGGGTCTTACAAACATGTACCATGATGCCTGACTTTCAACTATTTTATTTTTATTTTTGCTGGTTTTGGGGCTTGAACTCAGGGCCTAAGTGCTGTTCCTGAGCTGCTTCTGCTCATGGCTAGTGCTCTACTTCTTGAAGCCACAGTGCCACTTCCAGCCTTTTCTGAGTAGTTTATTGAAGATATGAGTCTCACAGATGTTCCTTGCTGACTGACTTTGAACTGCAGTATCCGATTTCAGCCTCCTAAGTAGCTAAGATTACATTCATGAGCCATAGGTGCCTGGTTCCCTCAACTTTTATAGGTGTGAAACACGATACAAACTTGGAAATGCTCTCTGCTCTCAGGATCTATGGCCAGAATCATGTCTTTTCATACTTTGCGTCCAGAACACAGTTGTATATCTTTATACGCACGTGGCCATATATGTGAGCCATGGTAGGAAAGGAGGAAGTTTTTCAGACATTGCTCCTGTATTCTTATCCCTCTCCTCATGATTTGTGAAAATCTGGAATAAGGAGACATATAAACCAGATAAATGGGAATTAGGAAGAAGGAAAACAAAATCCATTAATTTCCTTTTGTTTCTTCAGGCATTCACTCATTGTTGTATTCAGTATGCACAACAATCTTAATCCACTTTGTGTCTTTTCTTCTCCTTCCTCAATCTGACTCTGACTCTTCCTTGTCTTTCCTTTGGACCCTGAGGACAGTCATCTCTTATCCAGTGGTCATTCTACTTAAGGACAGGAAAGGGCCACTGAAATGTTTGTGGCCATGTCTGGACTGGCTTTCTAGCAGAGGATCTCAGAACCTCACAAAGTAGCATCTTTCTACTGGTTCTTCCAAATGGCACTGTGGCTCAAGTGGTGGAATGCTAGCTTTGAGCAAAAGAAAACTCAAGGACAGTGTCTAGGTCCTAAGGTCAAGCCCCAGGACTGGCAAAAACAAAAGTCCCCTGGTTCTTCCAGAGACTGGGTGCTTACTCTTCAGTATTTTTTTCCTCTCTGCCCCCTCCTCAGAGATAATTAAGCTTTGGGGTTTATTGCTTGTACAGGCCCTTTCCAAATCCCAAACCCTATTTTATGTTTGTTACTTTATTTCCTTAAAAAATCCTTCCCCTATCGCCAACTGCATAATAGTTAGATGTGACTAAATTTGGACCCATCACTTATCCACATTTAAAATGACAAGTATCCTGTTTTCCTGTCACTATTCATATTTCTTTATCTTCACGCTTAGCACACTATAATAATTGCTTGATAAATATGCAATACAGGTTTTCATCAGTTTGTCCTTTTTGTCAGTGGACATTTATTACTAGTGACATTTAGAATTCAGAGTAGAACTACCAGTTCTCCACCACAATGAAGTTGATTTGGTTTTATTCCCAGGATATTATGGCAGCCCTTAAGCATTTCCTTTGCCCTTCCGGGAACACAAAAGTGCTTTGGCTCCATTAGGACAAGTAGATTGTCTCGCAGACATGGAAAATTGGTCGACTTGAGATCAGCTCTCACAAGATATGTTTTGCAAAAAAAAAAATACAATGTTTTAACTAAAGCAGTACAGGAAAAAGAATGGAACAAGAAGAAAATAAACACAAGTCTGCTACTCTGAGAAATACTTTTACTTACAAAATACTTTTACTTTAAAAAAGGAACAATACTATACAAAGCATATTGTGAACTTCCAGGATGCAGTCCATTTGAATAATGGTACTTAATTTTTAAAGGCTTTGGGTAATATTGATAGAAAGTGCTAAGTATCTTGTTCTAATCCACACAGGATTATCACCTAAGTTACTATAAATATATGGTGTATCACAGCGTTGTAATCTATATGTAACACGTGTAGAGAGATGTGATTAGGTTTTATTTATAATGAAGTGATGCCACTTTGTTGCACAACTCCAGGGGGCAATATTTGCATAGATACAAACCACTGACTCGAGTGAGATTGAATATTTAATGCAAAACTTTGAGCTGGTGGGTCATGGGGCTTGCTCTACCACTTTGAGCCACAGCAGCTCCACTTTCAATTTCTTGGTGATTAATTGCAGCTAAGTCTCAAGGACTTGCTCTACCACTTTGAGCCACAGCTCCACTTCCAGTTTCTTGGTGATTAATTACAGCTAAGTCTCAAGGACTTTCCTGCCTAGGCAGGTTTGGAACTGGATCCTCAGATCCTCAGCTTCCTAAGCATAAGCCACCAGCGCCCGGCTAGGAATACATTTTGAAGGTGAAAGAGCTTCAACGAGGTTAAAAAAAAATAGCCATAAAACAACAACTACTTCTTCTTCCTCTTCTTCTTCTCCCTCCTCCTCCTCCCCTTCCTTCTTCATCTTATTTCTTCTCCTTCTCCTCTTTTTCCTCCCTTCTTCTCCTTCTCCTCCTTTTCCTCTCTTCTTCTTTTCTTCTTCTTTTTCTTCTCCTTTTCCTCCTCCTTCTTTCCTCCTCCTCCTCCCTCCACTCTCCTTCCTCCTCCCTCCTCTTTTTTTTTTTTTTTTTTAAAGTAAAAAATGAGCGGGCAGCGACAGGTATTTGAATAGACAAGAAGTGCGTCTGAGTTCAGTGCGCAGACTCCGGGACACCGTGGGAGCCCCGCGGAGCGCGGGGCCTGCTGGGAGTTGTAGTACGCCCTGGTTTCTCCGCGTGCGCAGTCTGCCAGACTACGTTTCCCGGCAGGCAGCGCTCCGAGACCGCCGGCGGGACTGGAACTGCCGCGCTGGCCGCAGTAGCGTCTCCCTGTGAGTCCTGGTTGCCGTCACGGGCATGGCTTCCTTCGTGACAGAAGTTTTGGCCCAGTCGGGGAGTCTGGAGAAGGAGGATCTCGGCACTCGGATCAGCCGCTTGACCCGGCGGGTGGAGGAGATCAAGGTGAGGGCGGGGTGCCGGCGGTTGTGTGGGGTGGGACGCCGGGGCGGGTGTAGGGGGCCGGGAGCGGAGTCGCGGGCTGGAGGGCGGGGGGCCCGGGGCAGACTGTGGGGCCCCCCGGAGCGGTTCCGGCCGGGGAGACGGGCGGGGAGGCCGGGCGGGGACAGCGGGGAGTGGGAGGCCAGAGAAGGGTGGGTTCAGTAAGGGCCTGCAGCGGTCTGAGGAGACCTGGGTCAGGGGGCGGGGAGGGAGAGCCCGGGAGCGGGGTTGGGGGCTGGGAGGGCTGAAGCGAGCCTGGTGAGGGGCGCTGCGGGCCCCCCTGGAGGTGTCTAGAGCGGGATGGAGCACAGGACCGGACCCGCCACCCCATCCGGTTCTGTTCCCCTCGGACCCTCTTCCTCCCCCCCTTCCCCATTTGTGGGTGAACACATTGAATGGCTCTGGGAAGATGGCGCCATTCACCCCGAAATTTTTCTTTCCTAAACTCGCGGTTATGTTTGTCGAGCTCTGTTGTTCGTCCCCAAGCACTTGAGGCCATGTTGGGTTGTAAAACGTCACTGGTATGCTGAGGACTGGCTGGGTCCAGATGTGGCTACCCGAAGGTATTTGCCCACATCTTCAATCGCCGTCAGGAGCAACTTTGGCAGACATCAGAAAGGCACCGGAGACAGCTTTTCCTAATAACTCTAATTATACAAAAGTCTTCATACCACTCGCATCTCTGTAACCTGGCTTTAGGATTTTTCACCAGCTTCTTCTGATGTTATGAGTAGAGGACAGCCTGTTAAGCTACTTTAGTATGGCATTCAAGGCTCCTGTGTGCTCTGGACCTCACCCATTCACTGCCTTCACTACTTTCCTCTCCCATCTTGAATCTTCAGACAAATGAGAATTACTTTCAGTGCTCCAAGCAGGCCAGTTTTTTTTTCCCTTCTAGTTCCCAGGTTTTTACATACATCACCAATTCTTCATTTTCCATCATTTTTCTTCTCATTTCACCTCCTATCTCAATTTGTCTTCTGTATTAAAATGCCATGTTTTCTCTGGATCTTTTTTCTTCTGAATCATCTTGTAAGTCTATTGCTATATTACATTTCAGCCTTGTCTTTTGGGTAATTCAATGAGTAGTATCTTTCCTACCAAAAGAGAATTTATTTCTGTGTGAGCATCTTCCAAAAGATGGAATAATTGAGTGCAGAATATGCAGTATTTGTTAAGGGGATATTGAAACTCAGTCATTTTAGAGTTTTAAAAATTGGCCCTATATGCTGAGCACTGGTGGCTCGCACCTATAATCCTAGCTGTTCAGGAGGCTGAGATCTGAGGATCATGGTTCAAAGCTAGCCTGGACAGGAAAGCTCATGAGACTCTTACCTCCAATTAATCACCAGAAGACTGGAAGTGGAGCTTTGAGCAGAAGAAGCTCAGGGACAGAATTCAGGCCTGGAATTCAAGCCCTACAACCCACCATAACAACAACAACAAAAGGGCCCTAAATCTGCACCTGTGGCTCATACCTGTAATTCTAGCTACTCACAAGGCTGAGATCTGAGGATTGTGGTTCAAAACCAGCCCTGGCAGGAATATCCATGGGGCTTCTATCTCCACTTAACTACCAAAAAGAAGCTGAAAGTGGAGCTGTGGCTCAAGTGGTAGAGCACTAATCTTGAGCACAAAAGCTTAGGGACAGGGCCGAAGTTCAAACCCCAGGACCAACCTCTCCTCCTCAAAAAAAAAAAAAAAAAGTAAACCTTAAATGGAGAAGCCCAGAGAAAGAGCATGTAATTGAAGCATATGGCTTGTAAAAGGCTCTCACAAGAATGTTAATAAAATTGTACTTTTTCTGGAAAATAATTTTATAGGCAAGAAGATAGAAACAAATTGATTAAAGTATATAGATTTTAGACTTGATTTATCCATTGTAAGTATATGATTAAAATTGATGGGTAGAGTCTGATAATAGTAGGAAAACTTTGGTCTTTTCATTTTCAGCATTGATATAATTCTTGGGTGCTGTTAGAATTTGGTAATCATTGTCTTATTGTACACTTGCACTGTATAGGACTCTTATGGGAGAATTTTCCTTTTGTGCCAGTACCAGGGTTTGAACTCAGGGCCTCACACTGTGGCTTCTCTTTCTTGCTCAGGGCTAGCACTCTACCGTGAGTCATGTCAAATCTAGCATTTTGCTGGTTTATTGAAAATGGGATATCTGAGACATCTTCGGCCAGTCTGGCTTCAAACTATCATCCTTCAAATCTCAGCCTCCTGAGTAGCTAGGATTGCAGGCGTGAGCCACTGGCAACTCACCAGAAATGTTGTTCAGTTTCTATTGGCTTGAAGGAAGGTGAAAGGCTGTAACTATTAAAAAAAATTCTAATATGAAAGGTGTTGTACAGAAGATAAGCTGCATATTCTTAATAAAATTCCTCTCATAACTTCTCCTTTTTTTTAAAAAAAATAGGGTGATGTGTGCAATATGATCAGCAAGAAGTACAGTGAATTCCTGCCTAGCATGCAGAATGCTCAGGACCTGGTGACCCAGGTGGATAAGCTGTCTACTGACATTGACCTGCTGAAATCCAGGATAGAGATTGAGGTAAGGAGAGTCTGTTATATCAGGTCAGCAGAGGGAAAGTATTGTAGTGATTTTGCAGTTCATATTCAGCTTCCTGATTCCCAGACAACTCAATTGAGTACAGCTTTTTTAATTCTTGCTTTGTTGTTGTTGTTGTTGTTGTTCGTGGTGGGGCTTGAACTCAGGACCTGGGTGCTGTCCCTAAGCTTTTTTGCTGGTGCTCTACCATTTTGAGTCAAAGCACCACTTCTCATTTTCAGGTGGTTAATTGGAACACTGGCTGACTTCAGAGATCCTCAGATCTCAGCCTCCTGAGTAGCTAGGATCACAAGTGTGAGTCACCAGCACCCAGAATAACTATAATTCTTGAATTTTATTAGCAGTTTATAGATTAAAGAAAATAATCTCAGGACTTCATTGTTTTCCTAAGAAAATAAAGATAGAGGAAGCTTAGAATTAGATCATTTGGCCTTTTGTCACAGTTTGAAATGTTAGTATTTGGGCTGGGAATGTGGCTTAGTGGTAGAGTGTGTGCCTAGCATACTTGAAGCCCTGGGTTTGATTCCTCAGTACCACATATGCAGAAAAAGCCGGAAGTGGTGCTGTGGCTCAAGTGGTAGAGTGCTAGCCTTGAGCAAAAGGAGCTCAGGGACAGTGCCCAGGCCCTAGGCTCAAGCCTCAGGACTGGCACCCAAAAAAAAAAAGCATCTCTTAAAAGTATTCTCTTAAATTTGCAGCTAAACTCATCCCATTCAACCTTCAGCACAGTCTCCAAACACAGTCATCTAGACAGTTTTTTGATTTCTCCATTCCAACCACTCTGCTTCCTGTTATGAGCTGCTTTCCTTAGTGTACTGAAAATCTTTGCTCTTATATCATGTCACTTCATGCTGTAGTGTTGGATAAACTTATGGTGAGTCTGGTATGGGTAGGAGTGTGTACCATGTTTTCTAAAGTATTATCATTACAAAAAGAAGTAAGTCAATTTAGAAACAGATAACCTACTTTATTACCCCCTCCCCCTTCCCCCCATCCTGGGGCTTGAAATTAGGTCCTGGGCTCTGTCCCTGAGCCTCTTTGTGCTCAAGGCTAGCACTCTACCACTTGAGCCACAGGGCTACTCCAGATTTTTCTTTTTTTTCTGTTGGTTGTGGGTCTTAAACTCTGGGCCTGGGTATTGTTCCTCATCTCTTCAGCTCAAGGCTAGTGCTCTACTACTTGAGCCACAGTGCCACTTTCGATTTTCTGAGTGGTTTATTGGAGATAAGAATCTCACAGACTTTTCCTGCCTGGGCTGGCTTTGAACCATGATCCTCAGATCTCAGCCTGCTGAGTAGCTAGGATTACAGGTGTGAGCCACTGGCATCCGGCTTACTTCCAGATTTTTCTGTATATGTGGTACTGAGGAATCGAACCCAGAGCTTCATGCATGCTAGGCAAGCACTCTACCACTGAGCCACATTCCTAGCCCTGGTTTATACCTCTAAAAACATTTGCATATTAAAAACCAGGTGGATTTTGTTTCCCCTTGAAGTTATCTTTTAGGAAAAGTAAATAGTTGGTGGTCAGCATATTGCTGTCAGAGATTTAAAGTTTCATATTAAGTCTCATAACAATTTCTAAATTGTTGCTCAGGGATCTTTGGTGTCCAAAATTATGTGTTGAGAGATTCCTAAGTTCTTTAACTTGTAGAAAAGACATTAATTCTATTCCATATATGATAGATTTATTAAGTAAGAAAAGTGAACAAATGCATTTTTCAAAAGTTTTTGGGGGGCAGGGGGAGGGGGGGATGGGAAGGGGAAACAAAGGAGGAGGCAACAATGCTTGATAAGAAATGTACTCATTATCTTGCCCATGTAATTGTAACCCCTCTGTATGGTATTCTCACAATTTAAAAAAAAGTGTTTTTTGTTTTTTTGTTGGTCATAGGGGCTTGGACTCTTGGCCTGGGTGCTGTCCCTCAGCTCTTCAGCTCAAGGCTAGTGCCCTACCACTTGAGCCACAGTGCCACTTGCGACTTTTTCTGCTTATGTGATGCTGAGGAATTGAACTCAGGGCCTCATTCATGCAAGACAAGCACTCAACCACTGAGCCACCTTCCAGCCCAAGTTTCATTTTTTAATAAAAATTTAGTCACAAATGAAGAAAACATTGGTTATCTGGAAAATTGACTTTTAGTAGTCTACTCACCAATCATTCTGCACAGTTCTTTAAAAGTAGATCTGTTACTCTGTAAACCTGTCATGGTTCTAAAAACATTCCTTATGTTTGTATTTAACTGATTATTTGATCAGTAGTACAGTGTTGGACTGTGCTATTAGAAGTAAAGTCTGGAATAAGTTAGTGATGGGCTTTTTTTGCCTTTTGTGCTAGGTTATGGCTTGTGGAGTAATCTAGCCATGGCTCAGTTCTGTTGACTTTTTGTTTGTTTATTTGTTTTAATGACAAGGTCTCACTATATAGTCCAGGCTGGCTCCTGCCTCAGCCTCCCAGGTGCCATCATTGTAATCTGCAGCACCACTTCTCGTTTGGTTGTATTTTAAAAGATGTACCATTGAAGAACAATGAAATAAATCGAGGATGTTAAATCTCAGGGAGAAGCATTTCAGTATTTGAAGTCCTGTCATAAGGATGAGAGATTTAAATGTATGAAAGCTAGGTGTGGTGGAGCATAATTCCAACACTTGAGAGGTAGATTATGACTTTGAGACCCATTTAGTCTACATGGTGAGACTCTGTCTCAAAAAAAAATTTTTTTTTATTGTATAACTTACCAAAGGGGATTAAATTTGGTTGATTTATTCAGTCACTTTGTCTAGCACCTTGTCAGTACAAGATGCCATGATCATTGCTGAGTCAGTTCTTTTATTTCAAAGTGTGAATATCATGCTATATACATGAATAAAAATCCAGTTAGAGGAGATGTAGTTAAGGATGGCTTCCTGTAGGAAATGCTAACCAAACCAAGACTTGAATGGTAAATGGTTAGGCAACAAGGGAAGGGAGGATGTTTAGGGGTGGGAGTGTAAGGGATAGCATGGCAGAGGCATGATGTAGTTGAGAGATATCAGTTTAGGGTAGCCCCCAAAATATTTCTAATGACTGATGCTTAGGGAATGCAGTGAAAGGGACCTGAGATAAGATTCAGAAGGTCAACAAAGATGTTGTGTTTCTGGTTAATAATATTGATGTTATTATTCTTGATGGCTTTGCCAAAACCATGAAGGATTTTAAGCTAAGAGAATAACATCTGATCTGAGTTTTTGGAATCCTGTTCAGCTTGCATTAAAAGAAAGGACTCGAGGAAACTGAGCCTGGGAAATGGGAAGGTAGTTGAAATGTTAGGAAACAGTTAAGTAATCCAGGAAAAGGTGTGGTAATTTGCTCTAAAATCGTTGACAATGAAGATGTAAAACTTGGATGAATCCTGGTACCATTTAAGAGGAGGCTCTTTGGGACACGTCACTGTGGAAAGTGAAAGACACAGGAGTCAAGGATAACTACAGAACTAGCTTTGATATGCCACTCACTGAAACAGAATAAAACTTTAGCATTTGATGTTTTGGACTGGATTGTTCTTTGTAGGGGGATCTGTCACTGTCCTTTGTAGGATACTGTACTTTGTAGGATACCTGGCTACCTGTTGATGCTTCTAGCTACTCCCTCACTGACAATCAACAATCTCTGGATGAGGGTGGGGCAGAATTTCCCTCAGAGAAAGAAAGTAACCAGGGAAAAAGGAGTATCAGTATGTGTGGAGTGGTTCCTCCAAAAGAAAGTAAATGGAAATAATGGCAGAACAAAGAGGAAAATCAGAGAGTCGAGTCATGGCACTAAGGAAGAGGATGTTTTAGAAGGTAGAAAAGTTAGTGTATATTAGTTAAATACTGGCAAAAAATACTTTGGTTTAGCAATGAAAAATTGATTAGTTTTTTCACCTTTTTAGTGAAATAATGGGACTAGAAACTAGCCACCGTGAGGAGGAGTGAATGAAAGCAGAGAAGCAAAGACATCGAGTCTAGACCACTGTTTTAAGAAGCTTATTTATGCAGAGAAGTAAGGCAATTGCTGAGAAATAGGCTAGTTACTTAAATATGGAGAAATTTTTACTATATTTAAATCTGATGAGAGCGTAGTCACTATTTCATGAGTGAATGAATTAGGGAGAAGTTAAAGAGGGGAAATGTTTGATGTAGAGTCCCTACAAAGGTGGAACGGAACAGAAATGGAGTCTGTTCAACATCAAAATACCTTAATAGTTAAGGCTTTTAAACTTTAGAAAGAGTTAGCATTTGGCAGTGGGGATACCTTTTGAGTAATTCAAGTGGCTGAATTCTCTGGGAGAGAGAACAGCTTTAACAATAGGAAGTGACCTGAGGATATAGTGTTGATGGGGATTGGTTTTCCCCTACAGAATTCGGCTTTTGCCTATGTGAATCTCCAAGCCTCTCCTTCAAATCACCTTCTGTGATTTTTATTTCAGCCTGAATTAGTATTTAAGTTTCAACAAGAATTATATTGCCCTACTAAATAAGGCTTCTTAATTAGCCCTGATGGTTTTATTTCTGAAGTATGGTATTAACTTAAAAGTACTTCTTTTTGATGTGTAAATTAGGTCCGTCAGGATCTTCACGTATCGACTGCTGAATTTACAGACTTGAAACAACAGTTGGAAAGAGACTCAGTAGTCCTAAGTTTGCTTAAACAGCTACAAGAGGTTAGTAAACTCAATTTAAACTTTCGTGTTTTAGTAGTAAGACAGGTTTTCTTTTTTCCAAATGGTTTATTGTTTAGTTCATAGTCCTTGACCAAATGCTGCTTTTTCCCCCCTACCTAAAAAGCAGACAGACTAGAAATAATAGGACATAGAAAATAAAAATACTGAATAATACGAACTTACTTTTTCAGTTTTCTACTGGTATTGAAGGCTATAATTGTGCATTAACAGAGAAGAAGTATATTACGGCTGCTCAGCATCTGGAACAGGTAATAAAGCATGAGTAAAATTAGTGCTTTTCTTGCTTTTGGGATAGTCTGTGTTCCTTGTGTTCTTAATCATTATTCAGGTGTATTCTGATTGCTGTGAATTCAGATAAAATGTTTAATGTCACTTCCATTCCATTACCAGGCTCAGAAATGCTTGAAATTATTAAAATCCAGAAAATGCTTTGATTTAAAAATGTTGAAATCTCTCAGCATGGAGCTCACAATACAGAAACAGAACATACTGTACCACCTCGGAGAGGAGTGGCAGAAGCTGATTGTGTGGAAGTTCCCACCATCAAAAGGTGCTGCTGGCCTCAGGTGGACTGCTTTGCTTAATCTGCCTGAATGCTTTTGGCCTGTGAATATTCTAAATAGTTTGTATTGCAGGATGAAAAAGGAGAAGGTTTTACTCAGTACTTTTCCAAGTCTGTGTTGAGTTCTCATGTTAAACAAAATGTTAGGACCATTCATCTGACTCCCTAAGGTGCTCTTTCTCTCTTTCTTTCCTCCCATTTCCCCCTTCCTCCACTCCCCTTTTGTTTCACCCGTCAGTTCTGGGGCTTGAACTCAGGACATGTATGCTGTCCCTAAATTCTTTTGCTCAAGGCTAGCACTCTACCACTTTGAGCCACAGCGCCACTTCTGGTTTTTTGAGTGGTTAATTGGGGATTAGTATCTCACCGGGGCTTTTCTGGCTTTCAACTGAGATCCTCAGATCGGCCTCCTGAATAGCTAGGATTATAGGTGTGAGCCATTGGTGACCGGTTCCATGTGCCCCTCTTTCTGTCTCTTTCCCTAAGAAATCCAGGAAGGACCTCTGGGCGTTGATATGGTGAGGTGTGGTAGAGGAGGTGGTAACGGTTTGTAACTGGAAATTTATTAACAGCCCGAATTCCATAGCTTAAAGAAACTGTTCAGCCATTCTTTCTGTTGAGGAAAGGAGGCAGTATGTTTTTCATAGAAGAGAGGTTTGGTTTTTTTTTTAAGTCTTTAGGGGAAAATTGGTGATGAAAACATGAGGTGGATTGCTTTACAAGATGAAGAAATATTACTGTGGCTCTGGCTTTTATTTGTGCTACTTGTCCTCTCACTACCTTTGACGTGATGTTTGTTCTGAGAATGAACCTCAGGACTTGCTGTTGCATCCAGAATGCTTTCTAGCACTGTTGTTTAACTTCAGTGTATTTCAGAGAAAACCTCACAGTCCCCCTCTGCGCTCTGTTTCCTATATTTAGTTTACCCCCACATATATTATGTGTACGTATGTATGTATGTATATCTTACTTATTTTGAAGGAAGTAATGTTGAAAAATTTTAGATATTCTCAAGTAGACTATAAATTACTAGAAGCTGGCAGCAATGTTGAACTCTTCGTTTAACACACCCTGTCTGTTAAACTTGTTTGACAAGGCTGTTCTCAATGGAAAGGTCTGTGAAACTGGGAGCTCATATTTTAGTCCTTACTTTCATTTAGTCATTCAATACATGTTTAGTAAATATTGCTTTTAGGAACATCATTTTTCTTTTGCACTTAATTTATTCTTTGGCTCTACCAAAGAAAGTAAATGACGTGTATCATAATTAATAGTTGGTTTCATTAGAAGTATGCTGTAATGAAATGGCACATCTAGGAACCTCAGTAGAAAGCAATGAGAAGTAGAGATGGGAACGTCTTACGTTGCTGAGGGAGCTGATGCTTTTCCCCTTTTCTTAGATGCCAGCAGCTTAGAATCTTACCTGCAAACGGAACTTCATTTATCCACTGAACAACCCAATGAAGACAAGAAGGACCCTAGGCCCCCCATCAGTTCTGTCCTCCTGGCATTTTCTATTCTTGGAGAACTACCCATCAAGCTCAAATCATTTGGTAAAGCCTTCAGCTTTGCTTCATTCACATGAAATCTCAGACAGCTGAGAGTTAAGTTATGACAGAAAAGATTATGAACTATTTTCTGGAGAGTATTAGTGACAAGTGGTTAGCCTTTTGACTCATCAAAGGGAATTATTTTAAGTGTCCTTTTTATTTTGGGCTTGGATCTATTTATTTTAAATTAAGTAGTCTGGAAACAGCATTGGGAAAAGTTGTAGTGTGTGATATGATATACGTTTTGGGGTTACAAGGCTCAGGTGCATGGATTTGGGGCAGGCTGACTTGTTAGAAGTTCCTTGCAGTGGATTTTGATGAGTGCTCATATGGATTTTCAGGTCAGATGCTGCTGAAGCATATCCTCAGGCCTCTGGCCTCTTGCCCATCCATTCATGCGGTGATAGAAAGCCAGCCTAATACAGTTACTATTCGCTTTGACTCTCTGGTGACTGACTTAGAACATCCATCACCATCTGAAGTTTTTACAAAGATACGACTGGTACTGGAAGTGCTCCAGAAACAGCTTCTTGGTGTGTATTCTGAAAGAAGTGCATTTATCAAAAGTATATGCTGTTTTTCAAAAGCAAATATGAAAGTCGAAATGCCCATAATGTGAATGAAGGGGTATCAGAAGTAAGTTAGGCCACAGGAGCAGAGTAACTGCTTTCTTATTCCTTGCCTACTTTGCATTTCTTTTCTGTCTTGTATTGAAAATCTAGTCATTAGTGATATCACACATTCTATTGTAATGTTATTTTATGTACTTCTCCCTCATTTCTAGTAACAATGCATTTTGGAACTCTTGGATTAGTTATAGAAGGAAAAATGAATCAGGTGCTGCTTTACATATATTAAAAGACTTCACTGGGATTTCCACCCCACCCCTACTTTTTTTTTTTTTTTCATGGGGAGGTGGTTTAGTCATGGGGCTTGAATTCAGCATCTTTGTGTTGTCTCAGAACTTGTACACTAAAGACTAGTGCCCTCCCACTTTGAGCCACAGTGCCACTTTGGATTTTCAGGTGGTTAATTGGAAATAAGAGTCTCATGGGGACTTTCCTGTCCAGGCTGGCTTTAAACCACAAACCTCAGATCTCAGCCTCCTGAGTAGCTAGGATTACAGGTGTGAGCTACTGGCACCTGGCTTCCACCCCCACTTTTTTTTGGGGGGGTCAGTTGTGGGGGCTGACGTCCGGGCCTGGACACTGTCCCGTAACTCTGCAGCTCAAGGCTAGCACTCTACCACTTGAGCCACAGTGCCACTTCCGACTTTTTCTGCTTATATGGTGCTAAGGAGTCGAATCCAGGGCCTCATGCATGCAAGGCAAGCACTCTATCACTGAGCCACCTTTCCAGCCTGACCCCCACTTTTTTGAGATAGGTTCTCATTTATATAATTCAGGCTGGCCCTGATCATGATTCACCTGCTTCAGCTTTCTTAGAGTTCTGGGATTATGGGTATTTGGCAGCAAGACTGACCAAACTAGGTTGAACATGAGAAATAAATTACATTTCAACTCAGCCTATTGGTTAGATCTTTATGTTTTCCTGGTGGAAACAACCAGTTTATTCAAATTTATGTTTTAATTACTAAAATTTATTACAATAGCTGCATTTCAAGTGCTTAGCAGCAAAATGGCTGCTGGTTTCGATCCTGGATTTCAGACACCAGGTATTTGAGACATTATGGCCACCTTCTTTAAATCTAGATTTAAAATAGTGGGTCTATTTTCTTATTACTTTTATTTCTGCATTGACTATTGTTTATTTATTTTTTGTTGGTCGTGGGGGCTGAACTCTGGGCCTGGGTGCTGTCCTTCAGCTCTTCAGCTCAAGGCTAGTACCCTACCACTTGAGCCACAGTGCCACTTCCAGCTTTTATGTCGTGTTGAGCAATCGAACCCAGATCCTCATGCATGTGAGACAAGCACTCTACCACTGAGCAAACGTCCCAGCCCAACTATTGTTTTTTAATTATTATTTAATTGCTTAATAGAGTATTCTAAACGTAATGTTGTAAAAAAGCCATGAGATATACAGAGGTAACTTGTAAATGTTTGATAGAGTAGATATTTTACCTATTGTAAAGCATTTGCTGGTGTTTTACTTAAATGTTCAGATAGCATGCAGAGTTATATATGTTTTTCTATGTTTTCTCTCATTTTAAAATTTAAGAATTCCAGAGAAGTAAAAAACCAAAGAATATGTTGGAACTGCGATTAAACTTCTTGTTTAAAACTTCATCTTTCGAATTCAGATTTGCCTCTTGACCCTGACTTAGAAAATGGAAAGACGCCTCCGATGGTATTGGCGGAGATGCTTGGTGATGTGATCTGGGAAGACTTGTCTGAGTGCCTCATCAAAAACTGTTTAGTTTATTCTATTCCAACCAATAGCAGCAAGCTACAGCAATACGAGGAGGTAAGGGGCAGAGCTAGCCCACGTCTTAGAACACTTGATTCCTATTGCTATTTGGTTGTTCCTTGTACATCTTTTGTTCTTAGGTTTTGTCTTTATGAAAATTGTTAATAAGGAATAGAAACAAATTCTTTATAGCTGCATTTTTCTTCTGGCTTCCTATGTCTTTGATTGGGGAAGTATGTTTATGTTTATATTATTCTTGTATCCGCTACTGAAATTATTGTATCACATATTTACTTTAGAAGATCTTTATACCTTTAGCAGAGTCAGAAAATTCCATTGAGGGCTGGGAAGGTGGCTTAGTGGTAGAGCGCTTGCCTTGCAAGCCTGAGGCCCTGGGTTTGATTCCTCAGCACCATATAAGAAAAAAGAAAAAAGCTGGAAGTGGTGCTGTGGCTCAAGTGGTGGAGTGCTAGCCTTGAGCTGAAGAGCTGAGGGACAGTGCCCAGGCCGAGAGTTCAGACCCCACAACCGGACCAAAAAAAAAAAAAAATTCCATTGAAAATATTCTTGCTAATGAATTTAAGGCTCGAAAACTATAGTATTGTAAAACCTAGTAATTGATTTATTCTAAGACCAATGTGACTATTTTGGCCCTTATTTATAATACATTAACTTTGAAATGTTACCATCAACTGTATGTGTACAGTTGATCTTTCATGTCTAGATTCCAAATTTAACCAACTGGAGACTGAAAATATTTGGAATATGTATCTATTAAATATGTAAAGGTTTTTTTCTTGTTATTCTCCTTAAATGGTAATAGATAACAACTATTTACATAGTATTTATATGTAGTATTTTGAGTAATCTAGAGATGGTTAACATTATATAGGAGGGTATACATAGATTATAAGCAGTACTGCATTTTTTAAAAATATATGGGATTTGTGCATTCATTGATTGTATCTGACAAGTGTCATGGAATCAATCCCTGGTGTACTGAGGGATAACCATAACCATCTCATAATATATATATTTTTTGTTCTTCTCTCTCAGATTATACAATCCACTGAAGAATTTGAAAATGCCTTAAAGGAGATGAGGTTTTTAAAAGGAGATACTACCGATTTGTTGAAATATGCTCGTAATATCAACTCTCATTTTGCTAATAAGAAGTGCCAGGATGTGATTGTGACAGCCAGAAACCTAATGACCTCTGAAATCCACAACACTGTGAAGGTGCCAGGGATGTATTATATTGTAGTTTGGGAACAGGTCATTTTTAAGATACATAGGGAAAGAGATGATTGCTGAACTCCCAGAGCTTGAAAACATTGTGTAAATTAGAACGTGCATAACTAATAGATTACAGTTGTTGATATTTGATAGTAGATTATTCTCATCTTCATTAATTGAAATTTTATGATGTGCATACTTGTGGTTTTTTATGTACAAAGATTATGTCCTACTGTGAAATGTTCATAACTAATCTCCTGGGCTTAATGAGGGTCTAGTTTAGAGATTAAAATAGTAAAGAAAGTAGCCAAAAAGATAGAGTATAAATAATTTGCAAGGGCAATGGAATAATTAATTTACATACTGAGTAATTTACTCCTTTACTTTAGATAATTCTGGGCATTTTAAAAAAATCTCACATATATTGAATAATACAGTACTGGTTAAATGCATGTTCCATAAAAAAAAGTAAAGTCTCCCTAATTCTTATATAAAAAGGAAATTCCAATACCTACTTGGGATTAAATGAAAGAGCACTGCTTCTAATAGTAAATATTCCAAGTTTAAATCAAGAGACTTATCTTCCTAGTCCATATATGGTATAATAGTATCTACTTCAAAAGGCTGTTAATAAAGTTATGTGTAAGAAAAGTGTCAGTGACCCAGGTATTCAGAAACTATGGCTTTGCAGAATGCTGATGAAAAAATACATAATTATAGGGATGACCGAAAGGCCTCTAATAATTGTCTCAAAAGTGAGCTCAGAGTGATTTGCTCTTAGAAAGAAGTATTAGTCCTGGACTATTTCCCATTTGAGGTCCAGTGTGTGAGAGCAGAGCTGTTGTTTTTGCAGAGGAAGGGGAGCTTACTTCTTCTACCTGCTTGATCTTTCTTCTTTTATTTTGCCTCTGAGGCATCTATGAGAAACAAATTTTGAAAACCATTATTCATGAAAGGTTAAAAATGACTAATATGAGTGAGGTTATAAATTCACTGCTTCCAGACCTTACAGCTTAGTGTTCTTTCATTTAGTCCTAAGTTAGTCTTGAAGTTTTTATTTTATGTAAGTTTAGGGAGACTTCTTATTTTTTTTTTTTTAATTTTTGTCAGTTGTGAGACTTGAACTCAGGGTCTGGGTGCTGTCCCCAGTCTTCTTTTTTTTTTTTTTTTT